GTACTTTTAACATCTCCATTTATAGAGAGGTTAAGTAATTTGCCTAAGGCCAGCAGTAAGTGGCAGAACCCAAATTAGAATGCAAGTCTAACTCCAGAATTTGGGTTCCTTTCAGTAACTGCCTGTGAGACCACACAGTGGGTGTGGAATGCATGGCAGACCCCAATCTTACCTCCAGGGACTCTGAGAACCACTGCTGCACTTCAGGAAGGAACAGATGTCCTGTAGAGATAAGCCTCAACAAATATTTGTTGTGGATAATACTCCCCTCCCACAGGAATTTTTCTTTGCCATTAATGGTCTTCCATAGTGCCTGGGGTTTGTACTACCCACTTTGGCACCTGTCTATTGTCTTGTACTATTGTTTCTAATGTTGTCTTTGCCTACAGAGAATTTTTCTTATCAGGTTCAGCCTAGTCCTGTTGGCTCATGTGGAAGTGAGGCTGCAGGCCTTCACAGTAGGATCTTCCTTATCCACTGTAGAGAACCAGTGGCACTCAAATCTAAGACCTCTTTGCAGTGTTTGTCAAAAATGCACTTTGTGAATAGTTTTGGGGTAGGGCCCAGGAATCTGCATTTTAACATCCAGGTCATTCTTAGGCCACAGGCAATGGGATCAGTGTACATTCCTGCCTGTGAAGATGGCCCATTTAGGCAGGATTATTTCCTGGTATAATGATTCTCTAAACACTGCACACAGCTGAAGAATTAAACTGGGCCTCTTTTGTTTCTGGATACACCACTTGGCAGGTGTAATAACATTCTCTGACAGGCTGCTTGCCACAGGTGCATGCTTGACACGTGCATCCCGTTGGTACCATCCCCGTTCCCACTACTGCTGTCCAACCAAGACCCCTCTTATCCCCCCTCCACCCTGCAGCTGTTGCCCTCCCCCAAGCCCTCAAACCCACCCTTCCCGGTAGCCCTCCCTTCCCTTCCTCAGCTAGCAATCCCTTCCCTGCCCCCCCATACCCCTTCCCTTCCCCAGGCTCCTCCCACCTCAGAATATTTTTTTGTTCCTAAGTTTATCATGTGAGATGGGGGTGGGGTAGGAGGGCCTGGTTAAATGGAGTGATCCCTCTGCCATTCACCAGAGATCCTACTGAATGGGCACTTTTTCCATCTGAGAAAACCTTATGTTTCTACCAGAGAAATGGGCAGAGGCCTCTCTCTGGAATTTGGAGAGGTGACACTCCCGGGCACAACCCCTCAGTCTCTGCAGACATTCCAAAGCAGGCCCAACCTGCCGCGTTCCTTTGTTGGGGCACAGAGGGAATGGGATCCTACCGATAAGGTGAGAAGGTCTTCAGAGAATACCAAGATGGGCCCACCCTTCTCCCTCCTCCCTCCAATCACCTAAGGCTAAAAGGGGAGAAAAAAAACCACCAACAAAGACTTTAAGATAGTAATTCCCAGCTTTTTCAAATATGAAGCATTTTTTTTAACCAATCCGTTTTTTAATTCTTAAATTCTTGACATTACAGAACTAAACTGAAATTTATTAACATTCCACTCTTACATTTCTTATCGACAAACAGAAATAAAATTCATGAGCCAAAAAACCCAAACAAAACTAAAAACAGGGAAAAGCTTATAAAACTAAATATGGATCCCAGCATTAACAGCTGAACAGAGAATGTGATTTTTAAATTCTTAGCGGATGATAAAGTTGTGTAGAAACTGAACACTTACAAATTATTTAAAACCTGGAATCACTGACCAGAAATTACACAGTTGGATCATGGGAAAACAGCAGAAAGGGGTTATGAGGGAACCTACACTGTTCTAGCTGCACCCCATGCCCTTCTCAGAGGAAAGCCTGGCATTGATTAGATACTGGGCCAGACTAATACTGGCAGCAGAGCCAGTGATAGTAACCTGCCTACCAGAAGAGCCTTCCACTGGATTGGCAATTTTGATCTGGGCCCCGGACATCTGGCGGATCTCATTAATGTTGGCGCCTTGGCGCCCGATTATGCAGCCAATTAAGTTATTTGGAATGGTGAGTTCATGGGTGGTTTGAGTAGATGCATCCAAACTTGCCCAATAGCCTTTCACCTCTGGAGAGCTGGAGTCAATTCCGGCGAATCCGGTCCCGCCGTGCATCATGGCAAAGTGAGACTGTTGTCTTGCCACCTGGTTCAGCTTGGCCAGATCGAGCGGAGAAATGGTGTGTTGTCCTTGAATCGAGTAGGCATCTAGAGGTGGTCCCTCCAGGTCATGGGTGGCGTGAGGGTAGCCCGCAGCGTCGCTGCACCGATCTTGGCCGCCCGCGCAGATGACTGGAGAGCTGGCCGGCATGGGCTGGTACGGAATGGTCATGACTCTCCCTTGCGGAGACTGGGAGAGCGTCTCCAGCATGACCAGGCAGATCTGCTTGACACACTCGGTGACAGACTGCGGCACGCCAGCGATGGTGATGGCCCGCTCGGTGGAGTTGGGCAGCATATCCCCCGCCACCTGGACCTGGGCCCCCGTACTCTCGCGGATCTCTTTGATCTTACACCCGCCTTTCCCAATCAGGGAGCCGCACTGGGTAGCCGGCACCACCAGCCTCAGGGTGACCGGGGGCCTGCTGGCCGCCGTGCTGTTGGTCATGGAGCTGTTGATATCTTCTTCCAGCTTGTCGATGATCATAGCGAAAGCCTTAAAGATGGCATTGGTGGGGCCGGTCAGAGTGATGATTCTCTCCGGACAATTCCCCTCCGAGATGTTGATCCGCGCGCCACTCTCCTCGCGGATCCTCTTAACCGACTCCCCTTTCTTCCCAATGATGCTTCCTACTTCCTTTCCGTGCATAAGAAGCCGAATGGTGAGAGTCACATTTAGTCCGCTTTCAGTCACACCGGCATCCATGGCGAGCGGCGGGCGGCGTTCGGGGGAGTTGGGCTCGTTACGTGGTCAAGTCTTTGGCGGCTGGCGGGGGGAGGGGAGATGTAGGCCCAAAACTGCCGGCGCGAGGCGAGCGAGGGCCGCGGGAGCGAGCGGGCGCGGGCGGGAGGCCGCGGCGTAGTCGCAGGAGCGGGCGGCTGCGGCGGAGGGGGCGAGCGGGGCCGGGAGCGGCGGGCGGGCGGGTGGGCGAGGGCGCGGCGGTGGCGACTCCGGCGGCAGCCTCGGCGGTCTGGGCGGGGCGGGAAGCCCGCTTTCAACCCCGCATACCCTCTGACCCCGGAAGTGCTTTCTGCGCAGGACCCTTTGAAAAAAATGAGGACCCGTCTTTTTTAGGTCACAAGATTGCGCCAACCCCGACACGGCACATTAAAAAAAACCCTTTTAACACCGCAGTGGTGAAAATTAAGCAATGATAAAGGGAAGCTGAGAGTCCGGCAATGTTTAAAAATAAACATGTATTTTATTAACTATAACATCACTGGCGGATGACTGAAAATATTAGTGTTGTGTATAGGCGACACACATTATTTTGCCACTTCACAAATAGAGTTTATCCGCGGAGCGACACGGGCAACCCCGGCGGTAACTGCAGGCGGTAGCCGGGACGCCGCGGGTTTAAAACGTGCGCGTGAGGTGACCAGAGCGCGTGCGCGAGGGTGTGGGGGGACGGGAGGGGCAGGTGCCGTCTTCCGGGGGGGAGGGGCGGCGAGGCAAGGCCTGACTGCCGGGTGCGCGCGCGGGCGGGCACGTGGGGCCTTTTCGTCCCCGGCGTCCCGGCGCCCCGCGCCAGCCCCCACCCATGCCCCGACCCCTTGGTGGTGGCCGGTGAGCAGAAAGACTGAAACCCACCCCCTTTCGCCGCCCGAATCGCGGCTTTGCTGTTTCTGGGAAGTGCTAGAAACACGGCCATAAAAAGAATGGCGTCCATTTACATAATGCTTTGTTTGCATTTTGCAAGTTTCTGTCTGTTAAAGCCACAGAAACCCCACCTCTTGCCCTTGTGTCGTTTCTACCGCGGCATCCTTGTCAGACATTTGAAACAATAATGTGTTTCTGTGGAGGCCTCATTTATTCAGGGGGTGCCGACTGGAGCTTTGGGGAGTGCCTGCGATTTTTCCCGCGCGCTCAACGCCCGCACTGTTGCTTTTCCGCCCCTTCCCCTCAGTGCGGCCGCCGCGCCCTGCGCTCTCTGGGGCGGCCCTGATGGGGCCCGCCATCTTGAAAGGCCTTTCCTGCTGAATTCCTCCCGCTGAGGAAATGTCGCTCGAGTCACTGGTCTACGAGTTTTGGTTTCTGCCCCTTCCCCTTTCTCCTTGGGCTAAGCCAGACCAGGAAAGGCTGTGTGCGCAACGTGCTTTAGGATCCCTCGGGGAAAGAGGCTAACGTGGCGTTCTTCCGCCTCCCCCTCTTCTTTCCCCGCGGGGGCAGCCGCCATTTTTTCTGAACACAAAATGGCGACACGTGGCCTGGATTCGTCGCCAACGAGAAATTGGGGTGGGCCCGAAAGGTCTAGAAGGCACCCCCTTTATTCCCCGGGGCCAGCCCCGTTGCGAGCATTGTGACCACTCCCTCAAAGTCCCCCTGCTGGTCCGAAGCTCAGCAGGAGAATTTTAATGCGATACCCTCGCTTTAATTTGAAAAGGGAACGTGTAAAATGTAGGCAGGATACTGATTTTCTTGTTCTTTTTAAGTTTAATAATGGATAATGGAGAGGGGGCAGTAAGAAATAATTTGAGCTTCCATAGTACCAAAGCATTTGAATGAGATGGGAAATGACTGCTTTCCTAAATTTCCTAGTCCAGGCTGTCGTGCTTGAGAGACCAGGGTATCTTATAAGGCTTCCATAAAAGCAGAACAACATCCAGGAAGAGACTAGGATGCTTATGTCTTTTTCACAGGCCAGCTGGCTGGGGAATCTCAGTCTACTACAATAGGTGTTCACTTTTAGTGTACAAAGAACAGGTGTTTATTGTGCATTTGTCAGTGCCAGATTCTGTGGTAGGAATTTCACTGCATACTGCCTTTAATTTTTACCGTGATCCTCTGAGGTAGGTGTTATTGCATGATCGCTCTCTCTCTCTTTTTTTTTTTTTTAACAGAGGAAGACATTTAAACCTAGAGAGATGAAGTGACTAAGTCAAGGTCACACAGTGTCGGGGATGGAATCCAGACCTTCTGATTTCCTTACTGGTGAGCATGTCTTCCACGTTTTTTTGGTAAATCAGGATTTTAGAATTTTAATGGTATTTTGAAAGTTTAGGTGAACTTGTCATTTAAAGAACCCCTAGGGTAACTTTTTGTTGTGTAGTCTGCCCCTATTTGTATCTGAGGGCTCCCAGCTTTTCCTAATGCTATTTTATGAGATGTCTGCGTGAGGTTAGGGAGGGGGAGGTGATTCAGACTGAGCCCAAAGGCTCAGGTATCTGCCATTGTGGCCTTGTCTGTGGCACATTTGAGTCTGTCTGGCTCTGGAGGAGCAAACAACTCTGTATGACTCACTTGCTTCCCTCATCTACCCATAGGTTTGACTTCCGTCTTCCCCACCCTAACCAGGTAAAAATAAATTATTTTACTCTAGTGCCAAGCCTCCATTTCTCTGCAAAGATTGACAGGGCATGACTGTTAGATAAATCATAGTCTGTAGACTCTTCAATTCAGTGTAACACACAGCTAGTGGGCCAAGCAACAAACTTGTGCCTGGACGGGGCACTGAGTGTCTGGGTGTCAGAGATGAGGAGAAGGGCTTTTTGCCTTTATTGCCTTAATATCAGATGTCAAATTTTCCAAAGTGCTTTGACATTATTTTATGTAACCTACAAACAATTTTAGTAGATAGATACATAACAGCAACTGTGACAATAAATAGCACTAAGTGCTTACTATGTGGTAGGCATTGTTTTAAACCTTATTCTGTGCATTACTTCAGTGGCTCTCATATTTTAAAAGCAAACCACTGTAAGAAATAGATTTTACATCATGACTAAGACATATATACACACGTGTGCATAACAAAATTTTTTGCAAAATGGTACTTATCATTACTACATGCAATGTACTTGAGTATTTTCTATTCTTTATACATTAAAAAAGGACACATTATAAGTAAAGTGATTAAAAACCCATTCGTAGGTTGTGACCACTTAAACACGTTTAATCCTTACAAAACCTCCTGAAATGAGTGGTGATATTAATTTTATAGAAGTACAGACTGGTGAAGGAATTTGTCCGAGGTCACATAGCTGTTAAGTGGTAAAGTAAGGATTTGAATTTAGGCAATGTGAATCCAGAGACTACATGCTTAATCACTAAGATGGATGTAGACTCTGCTGAGGGCCTTGTCTTATAGGGAGACAGAACAGATTAGGGAATTACAAATATTAGTAAGTGTAAAAAACGCATGTGACAACAAAAGGACTAAATTGCATATAATCAAGGAGTGTCCTGATTTAAAGCAGTCTCATCCTCTAAACCTGTAACTTATCTTCTTTAAAGAAAATTTTATCCATCAGGTTGTTCTTCCCAAGATTGTCTAATTTAAGTCTTTTCTGTCTGAAATATTTCCTTAATTTCTTCTTTTCTGAGTACCTCTAGGACTCAGTGCATCTTCTCAATGAAGCCTTCCCTTTTTTAGCTCCCCCAGCCCTCAGCTTCCCTCCTTCTTCTAGAGTCCTACAGCCTTTTCCTTCAGTAGCCCACATTTGACTGTTGATTAAGTTGTAATGTGTCTTTGAGTTGATAATGTGTTATATAGGCCACAGGCTACCTTGGATGATGCTGCGATCTGGCAAAGAGGTCACTGGACTTTGGAATCTCAGGCGGTGGGCCCTAGCCCCCACTCTGCCACTGACTAGCTGGGAGACTTCTGCAACCCAGTTCATCTCTCTGGGTCTCAGTTTTCCCGTCTGTAAAACAAGAGATTAAATGATCTCTAAGGCCACTTCTAATTCTGTCCAAAGAGTGATGATATTTGATGATCTTGGTTGTTTATTCCCTTAGGAAAGAGTTATTTATCCCTGGGGAGACGATTTATGTAAATATTTTCCTCACTTTTGGTAAATTTTCTACTCCTTGCTCAGACTTGCATTATCTTGTGGATACCTGAATGAATTCCATACAACCCATTTTATAGATGAAGCCACTGAGATGTGGAACAACTGACTGAATAGTCACTGCCCCACCCCTGGAGCCTCACATATGACTCTTCTTCTCCCACTCAGTGACCACACATTGATTAAGGGGTTTAATAAGGCTGAGAAGGTGAGTCAGGCTTAGACTTTGGAAATTAAACCACAGAATTTATGCTCTATTCAGAGAAATGCTTTTGCTTCCTCTTACATTAAGTTGGTATATTATGTAAAACCTTTCAAAGTGATTTCACATGACTTGTTTAATCGTGACAGACAGCTTTGCCAGTAAGATTATTATTTTGCTCATTTTACAGAAGAGCCATCTTTGGATCAGAGGAGCAAAGTGACTTACCCAAGGTTGCACAGCTTGTTAGGGCTTGTGCTGGGCCTCTTGACTCCTGGTTGTGGATTTTTCCTTTTCTTGGCTTCTGATGCTTGTGGCATGGACTTTGACGTGTGGGATAACTTTACCACAAACTCAAAAAGCTTTCCAGCCAGTCTTTATTTTTCTGTCCTAAAACATCCAATGCATTTATCTTAGGCTCCTGACTCTTTCAGTTTAAGAGAATCTCTTCTCTCTTGTTCTTTGGTTTACATTTATGGGTTTTGGAAGGGGTGGGGATGATTCCTCAACAAGACTCTCTTAAGTTCCCTGCGGACAAGGACCAGATCATTCTCTAATCTGCTTAGTTCATCAAGAATACTACAGCTATTTAAATTTGCTCTGCCAACATGCAGCATTTTTTCAAAAACATGGTTTCTTTTTCTTTCCTCCTTTGGATCTATCTTTCTATTACTTTTATTTAAAATAATAGAGACTGGGCGTGGTGGCTCACGCCTGTAGTCCTAGCACTCTGGGAGGCCGAGGTGGGAGGATCCTTTGAGCTCAGGAGTTCGAGACCAGCCTGAGCAAGAGCGAGACCCCGTCTATACTAAAAATAGAAAGAAAATTAGCTGGACAACTAAAAATACATAGTAAAAATTAGCCGGGCATGGTGGTGATGCCTGTAGTCCCGGCTACTTGGGAGGCTGAGGCACAAGGACCACTTGAGCCCAGGAGTTTGAGGTTGCTGTGAGCTAAGCTGATGCCATGGCACTCTAGCCTGAACAACAGAGTGAGACTATGTCTCAAAAAAAAAAAAAATAAAATAATAGTAAGTTCAGAGGGCTTTGCCCCTATTACTTTCTAGGTTACTATAGCCTAGAAACATGTCTTACCCACTTTGTAGATAGTAACAATTTGACTTCATGTGCTGGTTTCCCTACGCTGCTGTTATGAGATCACTTCTCGGTTCCCTGAAAAACGTAAGAAATATGTTGGTGTAGTTTGCAGAAGTGACCAGGAGATACAGCAACATCCTTGGCTTAAGTTCTCCCAATTGGGCAAAGCCATTCCCATGGATTCCCCATGGTACCTCTACTTGAAATAAGCTGTGAGGAAGGGAGTACAGAGAAAAGTTAAAGGAAAGAATGCGAACAGAATGCAAATACAAAGTATAGAAAACAAGGAAGGGAAAAAGGCAGGAAGAGGAAAGAAATAAGAGAATAGGCTAGAAAGAAGAGGAAAATACAGGATCAGTGGAAAGGAGGTGAAGAGAACAGTCCAGAGGTCGTTAGCCCCTCCTGTGGTGTGAAAAGCATAGGCTGCTGTGCTGCACCAAGGAAGAGCAGCTGGTGCGATAACTCCTCCTGAGCTGATCTTGGGGAGTGTGTGCTTCCCTTTTTTATCCTCTATTTTCAATATTTTGTAGGGGAAATCTCTTTGTTTCTGTTATCAGGTGGGGATGTGATCATCTGCCAATACTTTTAATATTAGCCTTGTTCAGTTGGTTTATCAAGTAAGATGTGTTACAAAAATCACAGAAGGTATTTGAGGTCAAATTCATTTTATTCCCTTATTCATCCAACAAATAATTATTGATTGCATTGTATGTCGCAGACACTAAGGATATAAAAATGAGATCCTGTCCTTGCCTTCAAGATGTTTGCTAGTCTGGAGAGGGAGACAAACAAGCGACACAGTACAGTGTGTTAAACATTAGGATGTGAGTTAATAGAGGGTGCTAGGAGAGCACAGAAGTGGGCCCTCGATTCAGCCTTAGAGGGTATCCAGGAAAGCTGTCTAGATAAATTGACATCTTGTCTGAGTCCCAAATAGCAGAGTGCAAGGTAGAGAGCAGGGAAAGGTGTTCCAGGCAAAGGGAGCAAAGGCCCAAAGGCAGAGAGAACATAGTCCGTTCAGAGGTTGTAGCCATTTCAGGAAGATACGAAGGATGTTTGCATCATCCGATTTTTGGTGATTATCGTTCTACTGCTTCACAAATGTGGATTATTGAAACGTGGCTATGCTTGCTGTAGCACAGAATGTTAAAGGCCTTGTTTTATAGCAGTTACTCTCTTAAGATGAAGACATCAGAAAATGCGCTTCCTGTCTAGAGATTCTAAGAAGAAAATTAAGCCCAACCTTTGAATTAACAAATGATTAGTATAGTAAACCTCTGTCCGATAAAAGAAAGAAGGGACATACCCTTTTCTCATCCAGCTTTTTTTTTGTTTTTTAAATAGAGATGGGGTCTCACACTGTCACCCAGGCTAGAGTGCAGTAGCACGGTCACAGCTCACTGCAACCTCAAACTCCTAGGCTCAGGCAATCCTCGCACCTCAGCTTCCTGAGTAGCTGGGACTACAGGTGTGTGCCACCATACTTGACTAATTTTTCTTGCATTTGTAGAAATAAGATCTTGCTATGTTGTCCAGGCTGCTTTTGAACTCCTGGCCTCAAGTGATCCATGACCTCCCAAAGTGCTGGGGTTACAGGTGTGAGCCACTGTGCCCAGCCTCATCCAGCTTTTGAATCTAATTGTGTTCTGTTTTGTTTTTAAGGAGGGATGTGTGTGGAAATTTCAGATCTTTGTTAAGCTGGTTAGGATGTTTGAATTAGTGGGAAGGAAAAAGAGTTCAAGAATGATTGCTAAAAATTACCTGTTGGGTACAGTGTATACTATTTGGGTGATGGGTACACTAAAAGCCCAGAGTTCACCATTCTACAGTTCATCCATGTAA